ATTCAGTCCCAGTAATATCTGGCATCCTTTTACTGTACATTGTTAACACCTAATAACACTATTTTGGAAACTACATTACATCTGGTTGTTGCGTGGCACTCACCCCTGACCAATTTTTTCATATCTGGTGTACTTCTTCTTGGGATCTCCAATGCTGACTATCGTTCCTGTAAGGAAAATAATATATGTAAAGGAAGAAATACAGCAACAAATTATGCAAATAATTGAACAGTTAGGGTTTGTACGTAAGATTTATGATCATTTATAATTTACTTAGTCTGTCCATGATCTCCTCATCCGTCATCTTGCCCTTCTTGCCCTTCTGTCTTTCTGCGGCCTTGGAGGCAGTTTCTCCGTCTGGACACGTGCTGGGCGCCGGGATGGGGTCAATAACAGAGCGTGTATACACCTGAACAACAAAACAAAGACAAACAAATCAGTAAATAAATGTGTAGGTTAACAAAGAATGCCTTAGCAAGTAAGCTATGAAATACAGATTTTTGAATTAAAACATGATCAATATGCAGTCAGGATTACTAAACCCAGGGGACTTACACTCTTTGTGTACTCTGGTCTTGGTGCCACAACAGGTGGAGGAGTTTCATCATCGTCGTCATCGTCGTCAATGTCTTTGATATTCGGAGAAGAGGGTTCTGTGCCTTTCTTGGTGGGCTTGATTAAAGTGGAAGAAAGGTTGTTAATCGAAACAAAAAAAGAAAGAAATAACAAAGGCATGTGTGTTTTAATAGTTTTGATATACTTACAGACTGAGGCCCAGGAGTGAATGCATCTTTTTCTGTCAATAAAAACAAACAGAGGGACATTTAGAAATAATATTAGTCGTGACTAGAGATGTCCCGATCCGATCACGTGATCGGGGATCGGAGCCGATCACGTAATTTTCAAAAGATCGGAATCGGGAGAAAAAAAATCGGGGATCGGGATTTTTTTTTTTTTTAAAATACTTTTTTTTTAAATGTTGTATTCAATGTTACAAAACAAAAATGACCATGTTCAAGTCTTAAAGTCATCCTGAGGCCTTAGTTTTGGTTTCAAATTACACAACATCATGTATGTGTTGCTTCTTTGGGGCTTGTTTTCATAGACCTGGTTGCTTATTTCTCTCAAATCTGGCAACAGAGTGGGCAGGGCGCAGTGTCTAATTGTAGCAGTAAGCTAACGAGTACTGATAAGCTTTATTTTGTTTTGATCCAATGCTGCACAACTGAACTGATCCAATGATGCTATGAAAAAAAGAAGCTATATCCATGTTGGATAGAATATCCAATTTAAATAAAAAAATAACCTTAAGGGACAACTTGAATGCTTTTTTTTCTATTAATGCATTGCATAAAGATCGGATCGGGAAACATCGGTATCGGGACATCCCTAGTCGTGACCTATACAGTCTATGGTCGTGACAGATTACAAAGTATTTTCAAAGACTAACTTTGGCTTACACATTTGAATGTTTTACTCATTACGCTGACTGGTCACTCCTTAGTAATAATAATATCGATCAAACTCTTTGCTTAGAAAAAGGAACATGTGTTATCAGCTTGAAGACAAAGGCTTCTGCTTCAGGAGTAAACTCTTAGGCAATAATAAACTTCTACCTAGAATCCTGTTTGACGAAATACGCCACACGTTTCGTAATGTCCTGCAGGTAACTAAATAAACGTATTGTCTGACTTAAACTTGGAGCCTTACCAGAAGATGAGAAGCTGAGGTACTTCTGACGACTGTTGCCTGTAGAGTCGTAGAACTTAAGAACGTCAAGCACAGCCTGTGGGTTTTTCTTCTGCTCCGACTTGGTGATGTTTGAGGTCTGGAGGAGTCGAGCCCACTGCTCTGGCATACCCTTTGAAAAGAACACATGGTGTCAAAATAGTGCAGACTTGTGATGTAAATGTGTCTTTTGGGTGATAATATGTGCCAAAATGCCAGTATATTTGTAAGAACAACAAACAGCAAAAGACTCACAGTGAACTCCCCTGTGACAGCATCAAACCCAACATGTATAGTGTGTTCAAAATCTGAAGGTGGTGAGATCTCCGGTCGCTCTTTGTCTCGGTCTTTCTTTCTACCGCCTGAAAGTGACCAAACCCTTAATGAAATCACACAACACACACAATCTGAACTAATCACGCACTTGAAAATACGTTAAATATCTGACCTTTTTCCGCCCCAGAGAAGATTGAGATGATCTTGTTGCGAGGTTTTCTCTCTTCAGGCACAGATGGCAGAGGTTTAGAGCTGTGGTTGGCTGAGAGGGAGTCTTTTCCAGAGCCGGTGCTGAAGATGGTGCTGCTCATCCTGACTGGAGGGGCAGGGGGTTTATCCTCAGCGTCTCCGTTATCACACATCACTAAAGGTTGTTGTGAGCCTCACAGGGCTACGAAGGCAGGAGAGCACGGCAGGTAAGGATGGCAAATTACAGACGCTCACATCAGCATGAGGCTCTGGTGTGGTCATGCACTACAGAAGTAGGGGCTGAAAATGACAGCGAATTGAGAGGAAGCATCCAAGGGTACCTGGAACAAAATCAGACATTCATCAGACCATAAACATGCTATAAGTATAAAGGGGTAATAATTGCAGCAAAAAGGCCATTTTTAAGGGTACAACTTTTCGCAAGGGTACAACAAGCAAACTCTAAATACATAACATTGAAATAATTCAGTTTTAACCAGATTATTGAGTACTACTAGACTAAAAGTATGATGATTTCATCTAAACAACAATCCTGCTACATACTGTGTTGAGAGAAACTTGTGGATCCCACACATGTTTTTTGGGAATGTCAGGAAACTAGCAATATTGGGATGAGTTAAAAGTAATATTAGGATATGAACTATGCAATGGAAGTCATATTTTTTTTTACATTTAGGTTACCTAACACAGAAAGATCTTTAACCCATCCAACATCAGGACCAATATCTTATTAAAGTTCTAATAGCAGCAGTGACCCAGAGCACAATCACAAGAACAAATGTGAAAGGGGACAAAAGAAGTGAAGTAGACTATGTAAAATAACAAATATAGCAGTATGTGGTGACTTATTATCAAATAACCACACTAATATAAGCTGAATAGTATATAGGAGTGGGGGGAAACACCAGACTATTTGACATGACACACTAATGAGACAGAAAATACTACGCAAAGAGAAACCATACACACTGTCTGGAATGCTCAGTCTCCTATCATTATTTTAGCAGGGGTGAAATGTAACTAAGTACATTTATTAAAGTATCGTCCTTCAGTAACCATTTGAAGTACTTTACTCGGGTATTTCCATTTTCTGTCACTTTCTAATCCACTACATTAAAGAGACACATTTTTTACCACATGTATCTGACATCTTTAGTTAGTCCCTTCTTAAAGTATTTAGATAAAAACTCATAAGAGAAAGCATACCAGAAACGATTTTTAAATCAAAACAATAGTTTGGTCTGTCTTTCAAATAAGGTTAATCGGGATGAGGGGTTTGAAGTTATCTGAAAGCCGACTGTTAGCTAAACTAAAACAGATCCACAGCTTTTTTGTCCTAACTTATTAATATCTAAACAACTACTATACTATTAGTTTCAGAAGGAGAGAGCATTTTTATCCAAGTGTTTTCTCTGTTGTGTCCTAGTGGCTACAGAAGAATAGATGAGGATACAAGAATAATGCCCTTTGCCCTTCTCACTGTTCGTTTCACACAGAAATCAAACGCGTAAACATGAGTGCTTTTTGTCAAATGATAAGAAATGTCAGCATATCGATGTTCAGACCAATTCCCACATATAACGGTATTCCTGCCCTTCAAATTAGTAATAACTGGGGCGGCTAGCAAGCTAACGTTAGCATTAACTACTTGGCCAACAAGTGTGCTAGCCTAGTAGCTAGAAGCTAACCTTAGCATAAAAAGCTTTGTGCTTACAATCCTACGAGATCAGCGTTTTGGCTAATGGTTACAAGCCTGACAACCACACTTATGGGTTTACTCCTGACACATTAAAACTGACAATATATAGTTAAAACAACACTATATATGCTACACATTATCTGGTACAAATGTGGTTTATTTGCAGGCTAACTCACCCGATAATCCACACCAGAATAACTTGAATATAATTTGACTGCCGCTCGATCCGATTGGAAAACGTTTATAAATCCGTTATAAAGAACTTCCTTTGTGACATGGGCCCTTGGTGGTATGACACGCATACAGATATGTCAGTAAATGTTGCTACAACTATTTACAAAGCACATTTTCTTCTATCTTTTCGGTCCTTGGATAAATCCGCAATGGCGAAGGGGAAACGGAACTACCGACCCAGCCCCAGTCTATTCAATAAATGTTTCACATGAATGGTGTGTGGAGTGTCTCCAAACATTACTGCTAACACTCAGAGCTTTAATTACACGTGTTTGACCATTGGAAATACTAAAAGCGAGTAACACATTAAAACAGATTAAAACACTTGAAGTTAGAGGTTGATTTAGGCCGCAAGGCATTTTAGGTAATGTAGTTCAACATTTACAATATGTGAAAAGAAGGCTGATTGATATATTCAATCAAGGTTGAGGTTAAAGATATAACAACTAGGCCCTAAGCCTTTGAGCAATTCCTGCAAGCTATATTTGAATTCATTAATCTCTAAATCATGACAATGCTATGACCGTATGCAAATTGACATTAAGCAGTCAACATGTGATATATGCCCTCCATACATATGGTATGGCTATTGCACGCCATTGACATCACAAAGCAAAATGCTGTGATTTAAACTGTATTATCGAAATCATGTCAAGATCAAACCCTTATATGAAGTATTATAGGGCTGCATATGAAACAATTATTTCTAACTACCTTATCGATAGTCATGTCTCCATTAGCTTTATAATCCTGCAATCATACTTTCCATCTGCCATTTTATAACTTCATTGTCAACACACTATGATAATTATCTTTAGTTTAAGATGAAAATCACAAAAGAGTAAACAAAATAGACGGAGAGAAGATACTTTGTTTTTATTATTCAGATTTTAAAATAGTGTTATTTTGCTCTTGGGATCATAAGCTCCATTTGTTCTGGGGACGCTGGGTACATGTCCCCACCACTTTTTGAAAAGACCAATTTTGTAAAAGTAAACACTTTTTCTAACAAGTTACACCCTTGCTTGGGATAAAGACAGCAACAGGATTTGTGGCCATACCATGTACCATGATCCTGGTATCAGATAAAACTGCATAATTATAGTATTATGAGTTATTCAACACAAGATATGTTGACCATCAGTGTTTAAATGATGCGATGTTCCCACATGTGTTTGGACAGTGCCACACAGCAGAGCATTGTGACTAGAAGAGTTCCACCACACACAGGCCCGCACAAAGACCCGTCACCAACTGGAAACTGGACACTCACAGGGCCTTGCTCCTAAAGGACACAATATATTAAATGAAAAGGAAAGCAGCAATAGACAATAAGTATAAAATAAAGGTTAGAAATAAAATAGACTTTTTTACACTTAATATTTGGGAGAGATTTACATAATGATACCTTTTGCTGATGCTGTTGTTTAACCCATTGACATGAGCTTGAATTGTGGTGAGTACAGGGGGCTTCCATGACATCATGAGGCTCTACATTGTTAAGCGGCACACCTTTAAGTGAGAACAATTTAAAGATTAAGACAAAAAAAACACACTTAGTTTCCTGTCTCTATCAACTGTATTTTTCATCCCATGTTTCTGATAGGAAAATAGAGAATAGGAAGGTCCTTTAATAGTCCATTATTGGTACATACACTAAACCTCACCTTAAAATATATCTTAAAATATTGTTTATATAGTTTCTGAGATGAGGGATGTGCATGAATACCAAATAATAATAATACATTTAATTTATATAGCGCTTCTCATCTGCCAAGACAAATCTCGAAGCGCTTCACAGCAAAGGACACTGATACAATTTGAAAGATAAAAAAAAACAAAAACAAGTTAACTTCATTGACTCACATTTTTCAGTCCACAGCAGTAGCTCTGGAGGTTCTATTTCAACTGACGTAAACGTTTCGCCAACAAAAGAAGGCTCGTGGTAACGGCCGTGTATGGGAATCGTTACTTTTAACAGTGTAGGAGTTGTTCCATCAGGGGTGGGATAAACAAAGGTGACAAATCCCGTAGTCTTGTGAGCAGGCCCCTCTAGGTCAATGGTTGAATCTAGTATTATCTAATAGAGGTGAATGCATACATAATCACATTAATACAAAAATACAATTTGTACATGAACATGGATTGTATTATGATTTTCCCAAATGTGCTTTGTTAATACATAAATAAAGGTGAGTCAAGCCCATCTCAAATTTACCTTCCAATCACTAAGATCGCTGAGGGATGCAAGTTGGTACGGATCAACATAAACACCTCTAGGCCATCTATGAAGCAGCAAAACTCTGACCGCACTGTGCACATCAGGGCTGAGCTCAACAGTGATTTCAACCTCCCTAAAACACATCAGAAATCACTTACTTATTACTTTTACAATGAGTGTTTAATATGATTAGAATTTCCTATTTGCCAATACCTGTGAAAACCCCTTTTGATTATCTCCATTGAAACCAGTGAGGATTCAATCCAGTGCTGTAGAAGACCACAGTGGTTCTCATTCTTCTCATCTATAAAAATATGTAGGTTTTATTAGTCAAGACCTGACAGAGCAGACTTATTATTAGTATTACAACAACAACAATAGTCATAAATGTATGTCTGGCATTATTTGTTAGTTCAGTTAAAGCCTTGTGATAGATGAAGATGCCATACAAGTGGATTTACAGTTATACACAAAGGGACAGGGAAATCATTTTTCATTTCAAACTTTATAGCAATTACTCGAAATCAATAAAAGAGCAAACATTTTAAAATGTTTCCACCTGATTGGCTGTCAGTTGCCTATCCTGCCAGACACTTTACTTTCAATGCTTTGGTTACAAAACGTATCAGTGTTAATCCGGTAAAGCTATAATGTCTACACATAGATCAATATACCTTACCCCTTTCGATAAAACAATGACATGACGCTAAACAAGCCAAAACAGACACAAGTACAAAATACATCCAAAAATAATAATGGTAAACTACAATAATTAGTTTACAGCCTGCGTTCTGTTGAACTGGCTACAACTAAAATACCAAAAATGCCCAGCATTTCTTTCAAATTGTTTACGGAAAAGAATGTTGAAGGACCCTTCTTTAGTTAAAGGGACGCTAAGATAGCGCATGACTAGAAAGAAAAACAAAACGGTCAATCTGAGAAAACTCTGAGTAAATAATCAAGTATCAAAAGGGGTATGGTGTCGATAACATATCAATCATAAACTTGATGCTGATTAAAATAATAAGAATTTGGGTATTATATTTCAATTTAGACAGGCTGCAGCCAAGACAGATAGGTTCAAGTCTAACTACCATTGGGCACCCTAGCAACCATAACGCGTTAGAGCTGTATGATGCTCGTTGTTCAGATGCGTACAATTTAAAATGTATAACGTTTAAAATATGTTAGTCTTTTACCACTAGACTTAAATTGAATGTATACCGCTGCAGTAACTACCTGAAAATGAGTTTCGAGGCAAAGCGATGTGGAGTGCAGTTCAGTCCTCCCTCCATAGTTTTAATTTATCAACACAAGGAAACTAAAGATGTGCGAAAAAGAATAATACCTGTGCGCAACTTCTCAAAATATTCCGGTAAGGCATTACAGTTTTTTGCGACACGTTAGCTACTATTTATTTATAACCACAGAGATCTCACAGTCCCTTATAAGCCTTAACATATCACAATCGAGGTATAAATGACCATAGCTGAACAAATCAGGGCCCAGTGACAGATTGTTTTAACTTTTCTTCACTATAGAGAATTTGCTGTCGACATTAGACAACTGCCTCTCAACTCAGGTCCCTCAGTGGCCATCGAGGCTACAGATGTAGTCTGCTTTTTTGAAATTATTTAGAGGTACCTCGAACAACTGCATTTCGATAGGAATATGCACCACCAAACTAATATGTCAACTTCAAGGATAAGAGCTTAAGGAGGGTGCCTTATTTTGAACTCTTCCTGAGGCCGTGTCTTGTTTATGGCCCTTTATCCAATTCTAAGTATTTTAGTTTACATAATGCTACAAAGATGAATAGCACATTTCCTGACAGGAATGTTGCATCTGTTGCACTGTCCCTGGTGGATACACAAAGGCAACAGGATACATATTGCACACAAAATGTGGTTTAACAGTCAATAGGGCTCCTTAACAGGTTGACCTTGTTACTTCCAGCAGTTTCAATCCTTGATGCCCTCTGTAACCTCCAGATTATAGCATGGCTGCAGAGGGTCTGAAAAACCACCCTCGGCACAGAGACTACCTGGAGGATGTATCCCAGAGCCAGCTGGAGAAGCTTCACATCATCCTGCGAGATCACATGCAAGGCCTCAGCTTGGAGCACAGCCTGGCCTCGTTCCGACTGGACCCCGATGAAGACCTGAACCAACTGGATGACGATAAGCTGGCTCGCAAGAAGGGCAAAATGGACGAACTGTTCGAGAAGAACCGGAAAAACAAGGACGATCCAGACTTTGTTTACGACCTCGAAATGGATTTCACCAAGACCACCCAAGAAAAGTGCAGCTGGGATGAAGAGTCTGATGATGGATTTTAAAACTCTGTTCTCAAATACTTTCTCTGACCTTTAAGACTGCAAATCACCCAACAAACTGATACTCTATTTAAAAGAAAATCTGAGACAGCTGAAGTTTACTACAACTACCATCTAAAGTCTTACACAGTAGTAACATGGGGAACTCCAAAGGAAATATCTTCTTTTATACACTGAAGTATATACACCTGCATTGCTATTTTGGAGGTATACATACAGTGGGGCAATTATTATAGTTAGTTATAGTATTTAGTCAGCCACCAATTGTGCAAGTTCTCCCACTTAAAAAGATGATAGATGCCTGTAATTTTCATCCTAGGTATACCTCAACTATGAGAGACAAAATGAGAAAAAAAAAAAAAATCCAGAAAATCACATTGATTTTTAAAGAATTTATTTGTAAATTATGGTGGAAAATAAGTATTTGGTCAATAACAAAAGTTCATCTCAATACTTTGTTATATACCCTTTGTTGACAATGACAGAGGTCAAACGTTTTCTGTAAGTCTTCACAAGGTTTTCACACACTGTTGCTGGTATTTTGGCCGATTCCTCCATGCAGATCTGGATCATCTAAATGCTCTCTAGCAAACTATCTGCATGGAGGAATCGGCCAAAATACCAGCAACAGTGTGTGAAAACCTTGTGAAGACTTACAGAAAACNTACGCCGCCAGGGACTCAAATCCTGCAGTGCCAGACGTGTCCCCCTGCTTAAGCCAGTACATGTCCAGGCCCGTCTGAAGTTTGCTAGAGAGCATTTAGATGATCCAGAAGAGGATTGGGAGAATGTCATATGGTCAGATGAAACCAAAATACAATGATCCCAAACACACCGCCCGGGCAACGAAGGAGTGGCTTCGTAAGAAGCATTTCAAGGTCCTGGAGTGGCCTAGCCAGTCTCCAGATCTCAACCCCATAGAAAATCTTTGGAGGGAGTTGAAAGTCCGTGTTGCCCAGCGACAGCCCCAAAACATCACTGCTCTAGAGG